GTGTTTTATATATCAAACCTTGTAAAATATATTCTCGTGTTTGATATATCAATCCTTGTAAAATATATCTCGTGTTTTATATATCAAACATTGTCAATTATATTCCATATCTAGTGTTTTATATATCAAACCTTGTAAAATATATTCAATATCTCGTGTTTTATATATCAAACCTGGTAAATTATATTTCATATCTCGTGTTTTATATATCAAACCTTGTAAAATATATTCCATATCTAGTGTTTTATATATCAAACCTTGTAAATTATATTCATATCTAGTGTTTTATATATCAAACCTTGTAAAATATATTCCATATCTAGTGTTTTATATATCAAACCTTTTAAATTATATTTCATATCTTGTGTTCTATATATCAAACCTTGTCAATCATATTCCATATCTAGTGTTTTATATATCAAACCTTGTAAAGTATATTTCATATCTAGTGTTTTATATATCAAACCTTATCAATCATATTCCATATCTTGTGTTTTATATATCAAACCTTGAAAAATATATTCAATATCTAGTGTTTTATATATCAAACCTTGTTAATCATATTCCATATCTAGTGTTTTATATATTAAACCTTGGCAATTATATTCCATATCTTGTGTTTTATATATCAAACTTGTAAATTATATTCCATATCTAGTTTTTTATATATCAAACCTTATAAATTATATTCCATATCTCGTCTTTTTATATATCAAACCTTATAAATTATATTCCATATCTATTTTTTTATATATCAAACCTTGTAAAATATATTCAATATCTCGTGTTTTATATATCAAACATTGTCAATTATATTCCATATCTAGTGTTCTATATATCAAACCTTGTCAATTATATTCCATATCTGTGTTTTATATATCAAACCTTGTAAAATATATTCTATATCTAGTGTTTCATATATCAAACCTTGTAAATTATATTCCATATCTAGTGTTTTATATATCAAACCTTGTCAATCATATTCCATATCTAGTGTTTTATATAACAAACCTTGTGAAATATATTACATATCTAGTGTTTAATATATCACACCTGATAAATTATATTCCATATCTAGTGTTTTATATATCAAACCTTGTAAAATATATTCAATATCTCGTGTTTTATATATCAAACATTGTCAATTATATTCCATATCTAGTGTTTTATATATCAAACCTTGTAAATTATATTCCATATCTAGTGTTTTATATATCAAATCTTGTAAATTATATTTCATATCTAGTGTTTTATATATATCAATTATATTCCATATCTTGTGTTTTATATATCAAACCTGTAAATTATATTCCATATCTAGTTTTTTATATATCAAACCTTATAAATTATATTCCATATCTCGTCTTTTATATATCAAACCTTATAAATTATATTCCATATCTATTTTTTTATATATCAAACCTTGTAAAATATATTCCATATCTAGTGTTTTATATATCAAACCTTGTAAAATATATTCCATATCTAGTGTTTATATATCACACCTTATAAATTATATTCCATATCTAGTGTTTTATATATAAAACCTTGTTAATCATATTCCATATCTAGTGTTTTATATATCAAACATTGTCAATTATATTCCATATCTTGTGTTTTATATATCAAACCTTGTAAAATATATTCTTGTAAAATATATCTAGCGTTTTATATATCAAACCTTGTAAATTATATTCCATATCTCGTGTTTTATATATCAAACCTTGTCAATATATTCCATATCTAGTGTTTTATATATCAAACCTTGTTAATCATATTCCATATCTCGTGTTTTATATATCAAACCTTGTAAAATATATTCCATATCTAGTGTTTTATATATCAAACCTTGTAAATTATATTTCATATCTAGTGTTTTATATATCAAACCTTGTAAAATATATTCCATATCTAGTGTTCTATATATCAAACCTTGTAAATTATATTCCATATCTAGTGTTTTATATATCAAACCTTGTCAATCATATTCCATATCTAGTGTTTTATATATCAAACCTTGTGAAATATATTACATATCTAGTGTTTAATATATCACACCTGATAAATTATATTCCATATCTAGTGTTTTATATATCAAACCTTGTAAAATATATTCAATATCTCGTGTTTTATATATCAAACATTGTCAATTATATTCCATATCTAGTGTTTTATATATCAAACCTTGTAAAATATATTCAATATCTCGTGTTTTATATAGCAAACCTTGTAAATTATATTTCATATCTCGTGTTTTATATATCAAACCTTGTTATATTCCATATCTAGTGTTTTATATATCAAACCTTGTCAATTATATTCCATATCTAGTGTTTTATATATCAAACCTTGTAAAATATATTCCATATCTCGTGTTTTATATATCAGACCTTGTAAAATATATTCCATATCTCGTGTTTTATATATCAAACCTTGTAAAATATATTCAATATCTTATGTTTTTTATATTAAACCTTGTAAATCATATTCAATATCGGAAATCAATTATACAGGAGTACACACTTTTATACAACAGCCGCTTATCTCAATCTTTTCCGACAACCACCAAGTTGATGATAAAGGTTCTGTTCCCTTATGTGAATTTTCCATTGATCGATGGCAACATTCCTGCAACCTATGGTTTTTACATGTCGAATTTGATTCGATATTCAAGGGCTTACTTACTTGGATTGACTAAGATTTACATTGCGAGTGTCGTCTATGAAGCTGAGCCTGATTACTCTCCCGGAACACCTGATCTTATTCTCCTTGTACTGGAGTATAAGGGTAAATATTTCTTTCGTTTGGAGGTATGTTCATTATTTTTCATAAATATCAATTCCAGTTTATTAACATGCATAACAACTCTCCTAGCTTTGATGTCGGAGATGGTTAGCAATTAGTCGTCATCAATCCGAGTAAGTAATGCTAAGTTCTCAAATGGGATCAAGGTACACAATAACGGAACTAAGGAGCATCAAACACATCCAGCTTCATATCACACAAAGAACAAACATCTCAATGAGACTACTATGATGACAGTAAAACTTCCCTATGATTTTCATCAACCTGCATTTCTTGTTACGAATTTGTTAATCAGTTAATAACATCTTGTATGGAAATGGTGAAAATGGGAGTAGGCCTTTGGATATTGAATCAACTTTGGCATCGGTTGACACCATAGGTTGAGGATGCAGAGATCTTGCTATCTAGAAATGGTAAATTCTCAATAAGGAAGTTGAAATCATCACGCTTATCAAACAGTTTAGTGGAAGGCTGTCCATGTTGGCTTCGTTGTAGGAAAGATCGGTATTTGCGACTGAAGAAGATTCTGCCATGTCCTTGATTTCCTTTGCAAGGTCTTTGTGACCTGTTTTGATAAGCTCTTCGATAAATGCAGCCTCATATGAAAACAAAAAACATTCAGCTAACAAAAAGTGGCACAGTTAGTTCCCTTAGGTATTCCAATAATCTGCTGGAAGATCTTACAATTCTTATGTATGTAAATCATAATCGTTAAGATTGATAAAATGTGTGTCAATAGATCATTTAACAAACTTTACAAAAAATGTACAGGTATATTATTATAGAATAATAAAACGTTTCATACCTTATTTTCCTATCGAATGATTTCACGACAGAACTACAGTTTCGAGCGCATTTTAAAAATGGCCGCCAGTTTCATGAAAGTTTACATTACGGTAAGTTTATTAAAACAAATCTCGGGAGAAATTTTGTAATGTCAGTTATTATCAAAATGTATTTAAACCTGACTGCTCATGAATAGTGGGTTGATATTATTTGGTTGACTAATGTCAATGACTCTGACACGTACGTAAGGTAGTAAACAAAGATTTATCTTTCCATTGTACCACTGACATATTGTTTTAAACTATCAGCTTACAAAAATTATCCAAGAACAGTAACTCTCACAGTATGCAAGTTCTTCAAACTATTTTGCTAGTGGATGAAAGCAGATCCTCAGCATGTACACAAGACAGATGTGTGTAAAACTACATGGTCAAACGCGAACTGTTTCATCTTTGATAGGTACAACACTAACAACAAAATCCACATAGGTACAACACTAACAACACAACCCACATAGGTATAACACTAACAACACAACCCACCTGGGTACAAAACAAAGACAACCAACCTGGGTATACCACAAATAAGATAACCCACCTGGATACACCACAAATAAGACAACCCACCTAAGTACAACATTTCAAATCTTGTGCGAGTTTTATCGAATGTGTTACAATGGCCCCATGACTTACTTGTGTACAGCACGACATCACAACACGACATGTAGTGCTGTAACTTACTTGTGTACAGCACGACATCACAACACGACATGTAGTGCTGTAACTTACTTGTGTACAGCACGACATCACAACACGGCATGTAATACTGTAACTTACTTGTGTACAGCACGACATCACAACACGGCATGTAATACTGTAACTTACTTGTGTACAGCACGACATCACAAAACGGCATGTAGTACTGTAACTTACTTGTGTACAGCACGACATCACAACACGGCATGTAGTGCTGTAACTTACTTGTGTACAGCACGACATCACAACACGACATGTAGTGCTGTAACTTACTTGTGTACAGCACGACATCACAACACGACATGTAGTACTGTAACTTAATTGTGTACAGCACGACATCACAACACGACATGTAGTACTGTAACTTACTTGTGTACAGCACGACATCACAACACGGCATGTAGTACTGTAACTTACTTGTGTACAGCACGACATCACAACACGGCATGTAGTACTGTAACTTACTTGTGTACAGCACGACATCACAACACGACATGTAGTACTGTAACTTACTTGTGTACAGCACGACATCACAACACGACATGCAGTACTGTAACTTACTTGTGTACAGCATGACATCACAACACGACATGCAGTACTGTAACTTACTTGTGTACAGCACATCACAACACGGCATGTAGTACTGTAACTTACTTGTGTACAGCATGAGCTACATGGATCACTGTATATCTTCTTAACTCGAATCTTGGCTGTGTGAACTCCTTGTTTCCGTCCATCCTTGGTAGTCGGTTGACTGCTGTTAATGATACTAGCCTCACTCGGTTTCATTGTGCAGGTCAAATGCTTCTTATTTAAACACTGTATTTGCTCTTTTGTAATATTTTGTAGGATTTTCACACGTGCTTAATCAGCTGAAAACTGAAGCTTTGCAGTGTGCACATCTAGTCTGCATTATCATGATATTTAGTTGTGTATCCGTACAAATTGTGAAGTTTGATTTTGTCCTCACCTGCCTTGATACGTGATATTCCAATTCTCCTTGCCGACTACAATGCCCGACATAAAATTGCAGGGCAGGTTTCCCTCGTACATTAAACTGCTTTTCCTAGTGATTCAGTTATCACAGACATTGCAAGAAATGGGAGTCCGAATCCCGATTTTCCTCAGCAAAAACCGAAAGAATGTTGACAATACTTGTTGTATACAAATATCGAACATTTAGGTTGTCACTTTGTCATCATATCATCACATATAAATCAATATAGGTCCACATACCATCACGTGTATATTCATATAATACCATAATACGGACGTTGTCTTGTCCAGAATGCACTAGATCCGAAACTATCCGACTGCTGAAGTTCATGAGTCCACAAATATATACTGGGTTCGGTCACCATATCCTGATTGTCCGACAGCCGTGTAACGAGTATGGTTTAGGTTTGTAAACGTACTTCATTGCAATCATCTGATCTCAAACGGTTGAATAGACCTTACAGCGAATCGTCCTGGGCATGGTATCTCTTCGTCAAATCTATATCCCAATTTTTTTTGTAAGCATCCTATATTCATATATGATATTTATTTAATCTTCCAAATATTTTGTGGATTATCGCAAATCTGCGCTTTGTCTATTGTATAAATTATATGGGTGTGCTTTGGAACTAAATGTTGTGATTGTAAAGCTAACAGATATTTTCCTACCGACACACTTTAGACAATAGGTATATCGATGTTGTACCTGTGTACACATATCACCGTCACGCGGAATACCTAATTACGTTCTGCTATCAAGTTCTGTCCGAAATGTCGGTTCATGATCAGATAATTGACTGATATGACAGTGAACAACAGTCTAAGTAAAAAAAAACCTGCTAGATAACCTCGCTGGAACGGTTTTATTTGGTTTGATACAGTGTAATAATAGATGTCTCCTGAGTCCTTACCTTGTTCGACTCTTTGTGGCTAAGTTATCATCGTCAATGAAATGTCTTGATAAGTTCTATTATTTTATCCCATTCGGTTTCAACGAGACAATGACGATAAATTAGTTGTCAAAGCTTGATGTCAGCGGTGAACTTTGGTTTTTGAATGTTACATCGATTCATGGCAGTTTCAATGGTTGTGAATATTTTTATAAATCTGCGTGACTTCTAGTCATTCTTGTGTACTGTTCATAATCTTTGTCATTTTCAATAATACGTGAGTACTTATTTCTTCTCTGAACCCGAATTAGCTGCTATCAAGATGTAGGGTTGTGTGCAATCTACGAAAGTATTTATCTACACTTGAGTTATTGCTAATAATTGCATGGCTAAAGATTTCAAGCCAAGCAGCTAATTGTTGATTTTTTCATTCAGAGTAATGGTTTAAAACCAGTTTATTCCATTCATACAAAACAAGACTATACATTCAGTTTGCATCACAGTGTGTGCATATCCTGCTTTTATTAAATCTATTTTACCACTGCAAACTGATTGTGATGCTAGATATACCCGGTACAAGACAGTTGACAAGGTCGAGGTTGTAACTTCACTCATTTAAATATATGGCCTGTCGATAATGTACTGATTTAATCTCTTAGAAACAACCTTGGCATCTATTCTACAAAACCTGCCTTTATGAAATCAGAAGCTTTATCGTACATGTATATCTCAATCTTTAATGCAGATATAAAAGGAAAGATGTGGTTTATGAGGGTTTGTGTGACATTTGAATTTTCAACACTGTTAACAATAAATCCCTTCCATCCTCGTCATTAACTGTGAGAGAGCGATATTAACTTCAAGAGAAAAGATGATGACTCATCAACGTGGAAGATATATATATTGGTGTCACTGAATGTTTACCAGAGAATACACAAATAACAACATTAATTCTTAGAATCCAAACAAGTTGTCTGATAATGAGAATACTAAACGGAGAAAAAATACCACCTTGTTTTCAAAGCTGTTATTCCAACTAAACTTTAATAAATCCGGGACAACTACAGGGGAGTCAGTATAACTATAACTCAATAGATCGGAGACAGCTACAGGGGAGTCAGTATACTATAATTCAATAGATCGGAGACAGCTACAGGGGAGTCAGTATCAGTATAACTATAATTCAATAGATCGGAGACAGCTACAGGGGAGTCAGTATAACTATAATTCAATAGATCGGAGACAGCTACAGGGGAGTCAGTATAACTATAATTCAATAGATCGGAGACAGCTACAGGGGAGTCAGTATACTATAATTCAATAGATCGGAGACAGCTACAGGGGAGTCAGTATAACTATAATTCAATAGATCGGAGACAGCTACAGGGGAGTCAGTATACTATAATTCAATAGATCGGAGACAGCAGGGGAGTCAGTAGTATAACTATAATTCAATAGATCAGAGACAGCTACAGGGGAGTCAGTATACTATAATTCAATAGATCGGAGACAGCTACAGGGGAGTCAGTATACTATAATTCAATAGATCGGAGACAGCTACAGGGGAGTCAGTATAACTATGATTCAATAGATCCGGGAAAGCTACAGGGGAGTCAGTATAACTATAATTCAATAGATCGGAGACAGCTACAGGGGAGTCAGTATAATTATAATTCAATAGATCGGAGACAGTTACAGGGTAGTCAGTATAATTATAATTCAATAGATCGGAGACAGCTACAGGGGAGTCAGTATACTATAATTCAATAGAGGGAGACAGCTAATTCAGGGAGACAGCTACAGGGGAGTCAGTATACTATAATTCAATAGATCGGAGACAGCTACAGGGGAGTCAGTATACTATAATTCAATAGATCGGAGACAGCTACAGGGGAGTCAGTATACTATAATTCAATAGATCGGAGACAGCTACAGGGGAGTCAGTATAATTATAATTCAATAGATCAGAGACAGCTACAGGGGAGTCAGTATAACTATAATTCAATAGATCGGAGACAGCTACAGGGGAGTCAGTATAACTATAATTCAATAGATCGGAGACAGCTACAGGGGAGTCAGTATAATTATAATTCAATAGATCGGAGACAGCTACAGGGGAGTCAGTATACTATAATTCAATAGATCGGAGACAGCTACAGGGGAGTCAGTATACTATAATTCAATAGATCGGAGACAGCTACAGGGGAGTCAGTATAACTATAACTCAATAGATCGGAGACAGCTACAGGGGAGTCAGTATAACTATCGGAGACATTCAATAGATCAATAGATCGGAGACAGTTACAGGGGGAAAGCTACAGGGGAGTCAGTATAACTATAATTCAATAGATCGGAGACAGCTACAGGGGAGTCAGTATAATTATAATTCAATAGATCGGAGACAGTTACAGGGTAGTCAGTATAACTATGATTCAATAGATCGAAGACAGCTACAGGGGAGTCAGTATAACTATAATTCAATAGATCGGAGACAGTTACAGGGGAGTCAGTATACTATAATTCAATAGATCGGAGACAGTTACAGGGTAGTCAGTATAACTATGATTCAATAGATCCGGGAAAGCTACAGGGGAGTCAGTATAACTATGATTCAATAGATCGGAGACAGCTACAGGGGAGTCAGTATACTATAATTAAACAGATCGGAGACAGCTACAGGGGAGTCAGTATAACTATAATTCAATAGATCGGAGACAGCTACAGGGGAGTCAGTATAATTATAATTCAATAGATCGGAGACAGCTACAGGGGAGTCAGTATAACTATAATTCAATAGATCGGAGACAGCTACAGGGGAGTCAGTATAATTATAATTCAATAGATCAGATGTTTGCAAATCGAAGTCATACTGAGAAAACATCGCGTTCCCTAATTGAAAAATGCGGTAACTATGTCCAGGCATGACACACGTAAACTTCATGTCTTAAAAGATATGGAATATTACAAAATCGATAATCAGGAATTCGTTTCGAACAATGCGTTGAAAGCTTCATCTTATCGCTACTATTGTTCAGATGCCTCCATCGAAATATTACACCAGACAAACACGAGAAGGACGAAGTACTCAAACCAAGCACTAAGGACAACCATATGATGATCCCGTTAAGACGATCATTTATGTTAAATTATTCCACAATAAGTGAAAGGAAGTAGCTTTTCTTGTCGCCAGAACAAATTCTATACATCTATAACATACCGAGATAAGGCTTTAAAAATGTAGTCTACTTATGTATACAAAACCTTCCAATATTTTCACGTAAGAAATATTATTTTGGATAATCAGGTTTGGAAAATTGGGTCTCATAGATTAAGTGAAAAACTTTTTAACGATAAAAATATCTGCCTTTTCTACTTCGGCAATGTTCTAAATATGTAACTCTAAGCGGACATATTTTTGTCCAATTACGTAATTGTTTTGGATCGTATATTTGCTTAAATATATAAGTCGGATAAATTAGAGCAGATCATGTTTTGGCAGCTTTTAAAACTGAACTAAAGAATGATGGTAAGATTTGAAGAGATCAAGATGATATTTTGGAAAGTTGGTCTCTACATTTTCAAAATAAAACCATGAAGTTGAAGAATCTGATTGTTATTTCCGCAACGACATTGAGGACAAAATAAAAACGATAAAATCCAAAATTCATTCTGAGATAAAAAATCTATTTCTATGCACTTATTTTACCTATTGAGAAATCAACCTTATTTGTAAAACATTGAAATCAAACAAAGCAGGCGGGTTATGAAGGTCTTGTTTATGAACATGTCAAATATACAGGGCAATCAGTGATTTTAAGATACACAGAAATTGTTTAACCCTGTTGTAAACACAAATATAATCCCAGAAACTGGAAACGCGGTATAATAGTGATCTTATACAAA